CACAACTATACTCGTTTCTTTCTAGTAATGACCTATTTAGCTCATATCAGTTCGGGTTTAGAAAGCAATATTCTACGGAGACGGCTTCTATTTGCTTAACGGATACCATACGGCGCAATATGGACCACAGGAGGCTAACGGGTGCAGTGTTTGTCGATTTCAGTAAAGCCTTTGATACGATCGACCATCGAAAATTACTATCAAAGCTAGAAGCGCTCGGAATCAATGGAGCTGAACTGAACTGGCTTACCAATTACCTTCCAGATCTCCGACAGTCTGTTCATTATCAAAATGCGCTGTCTGATTCTAGCGTTATAACTTCTGGTGTACCTCGAGGGTCCATCCTTGGCCCTTTACTTTTTGCAATTTATTGTCAACGAAATACCCAGCACCGTCTCTCGTTGTAGCGTCATGATGTACGCTGATGACACTGTACTATTTTTCGCATCACAAAATGTTGAGGAGATCGAGGCTGTTTTGAATCAGGAACTAGACACTCTGTATTCCTGGCTTACTGAGAACAGCCTCTTTTTAAACAAGAAGAAGACCGAGTTTATCATATTTGGTACTTCAGCTAGACTATCGGGCATTCGGAACTGCGATTAGAAAATAGGCGACAATCCAATCAAACGTGTTTCAAGTTCCAAGTACCTCGGTGTCGTGTTGGATGAGGCCCTGAACTGGAAATCTCATCTTAATTACATAATTTCCAAAGGAAATCAGAGAATTGGTATGCTAAGGATAATACGCGAGGATCTAACTTTGAATGCCGCTAACGTTATGTACAGATGTCTCATTCGTCCGATTTTTGATTATTCAGATTCGGTGTGGACATGCTGTAACAAGACTGACGCTGATTTTTTGGAACGAGTGCAGCGTAGAGCAGCTAGAACTGTATACAAATCCACTCATAGTGACGTTGCTCTCGAACGCTTACGCTGGACTACTTGAGTTGAAAAATGGGACATGCATGTTTATAATCTAGTTAACAAATGCTTGAAGGGAAACGTACCTCAGTTTTTAATGGATTACTTTAAATTTAATCGTGATAGAGTATCACGGCGTACAAGACAGAGTAATCAATTGTACGTACCTAGGGTTAAATTGGAAGCTGCAAAGAAGTCGTTTTACTATAACAGTTGCGTTGTATTTAATAAATTCTCAGATGTTACCGATGCTTAAATATGACTCTAAATACATTTTATCATTAAATATATTTAAATATAATGTAAATATAATTTTAGGTGTATCTTTACATTACTATTATAGCATTCTACCTTTGTATATTTTAACCTAGCTGTTGGAATGTAGTGCTCCTGTTGATAACAGCATTACTTGTAAGTTGTAACGCTGAAAGGTTTACCCTACTAAAATAAAGTTTTTCATACTCATACTCCTACAACCCCATTTATGAGCATTTAGGCTAGGTATACGGATTTTGGACCGTTGGAAGACGTATACTGCGTCATTCAGTATGCCAGATGATGGATACAGTTGTGGGTAGATCCCGTTCTTAACAGCATTGTTTCCAAAGCATACATCACGAAATGATCTGTCAAACTTGTAGTAGGCAATGACATCTTTACTGCAAGGATCACGTTTACAGTATGGGTTACAAACGAGTGTGTCACTGAAACGATTTTACTGAATTATTTTATTAGTGTATTTAACAATTTATTTTTTTCTTGCCGTCCGAAATAAAAATAGTATTTACCGGTATGGTCGGTCCGTATAGAGAAATATTTCTCTCTGTCTTAATCGAGAAATACTTCTCTATACGGACCTCCAATCCGGTAAATAACATATATATCTTCAGTTGTCATAACCAGTTTAATATATCATACTTGAAAGTAGGTCACTTTGGCTATAGAGCCTCGTTTTCGTGTATGTGACATTTAATAGTTATTCTGCAAACTGAAGTCAAATGTGAGCTCATGATAGCCGGGGATGTGCGTAGCACCGAGTTGACTATCAGTCGTATATGACGATGGTGAGTAGAATAACTGTTTTATTATATGTACAAAATTTTGAAAATTTGATTGCCAATTCATACAATTTAGTCTAAACTTGCGAAAGCACTGCTGCTCGTTTTTTAAATCAGGGGCCGGTTGTACGAAAGGTGGATAAATCGCTATCCGGTGGATAAGTCCCTATTCAGCGGATAAATTTTATCCGGAGTGAGAATCGCGTTGTACGAAGCTTGGATAGCGCTATCCAACGGATAAAATGCACTATCCGTTGGATAAATTTATCCGAGGTCCGGAGGTAGTTTAAATCCACTATCCGGCGGATAAACTCAAAGTCTGAAGACAAAACAATGTGTATTTCATTTAAAATGGATTGCTGTTGTGATAGAAATCGACAAATACCGTTTAGAAGTCCCTTTTTTGACAAATCACTCTTGTCAAAAAATTATATACTGACTTTCTGTTCATGTTTTTATCTTTGTCCTTTCTTCATTTTTAAAAAATATTTAACAAGTTTAAATATAAAAAGGTATTTTCTAACCTGTAATCAGTCCCTGGGAGTTTTTCGTTGTGTTTTTGTTGCCGTTAGGGTTTAGGGCTACGAAAAGCGAATAACCTAGCTGCTGTTTTCTCTTTCGCTAAACTCCAATAGTTCTTGCGCCGCCATCTTGTTTTCTCTGCCAGAAGCATATGAGCTAATATCCAGATAGTAGAGAGCCAATAAGATTGCAGAATAATTTATATCCGGTATAGGTAGCTGTTTATATAATAATTAACAATTAGACAACGAGGCCGAGTTGTCTA